GGCGCTGTCCCGCCTTCGGGGCTGTCTCCTCCCGCCCCGCGGACGTCGCCGCCGGCATCCCCACGCGCCGCCCTGCCCCGGCCTGCCAGCCACCCACCCCCACGTCAAACGGCCTCTTTTCCCTGAAAAGTTTCTGGACGATAGGGACTATTTCCGCCGAATGTAACCTTCCGCCAAACTGGAGGGAAAAGTTCCCCAGGGCCGGGGGACTGCGGGTGCCCGCCGAGCCGGCTGCGTGGGAAAACGGTCTCTCTGCCATAAAAAGGAACACTTGGCCCCTTTCGAGGCGTAGTTTTGATTGTTGGGTTAATTGTCCAAGGTGCACAATGATGCGAAATGTTTAAGATGAAGATTTTGTAAAAATTTATAAATTCCACTGGACAGATGATTCTTGTGTTCAGACCTTGCAGCTTTTCCTATTGAGGCTTGTGTTACCTAGCTACTCATGCCTTCCAGGCCCCTAAGTCCTTATTTCGCTTACAGGGAAACCCAGGTTCCCTAAAAATGATTTCTTGAATCCTAGAGACAAAAGTCACACCTCGACTGGTAATACACAAGATTATTTATAATCAATGCATGTATTCTGTTAAACTAAAAATAATTTAACTTGAATAACTTAAAAAACAAGAAGTCAAACTTAGAAACTACTCTTTTAGGCACTTTGCTGAATTCTATCCCTATTGTGAGTAGTTGAACTAACTGATGGAAATATTAAATGATTAGAAAAAACAGCTAGAACTGTATTTTTCAAACTGTTGTGGCAAAATGGGTTTGACAAAGAGGGAGAAGAAACCAAACTAAACCCATTGCCAATGAATCAATTCTGACTCATAGTGACCCTACAGGACAGAGGAGAACTGCCCCATGATTTCTTTTAAAAAAAGAATAGGAAAATATATAGTAAAGATCAGTATTCTTTCATGAAACATGATTCATGAAATGTGTTTCATGAAAGACTACTGAGTGCGTGTGTGCGTGCATGTGTGTGCGCGTGCATGCGCATTTGTGTGTGCATGCGTGCGTGTGTGTGCGTGTGTGTGTGCGCGCTGAGTCGAGACGTATAATACATTTCCTACTGTGGGTTGCTGTCGAAAACGTCTGAAAAACAGTGGAATTATCCTAGGATGCTTAAATTGGCAAGATTTGAAAAGTCATTTAATTGATTCCTCTCCGCTTAGACAGTGTTTCATTTAAAGAATAGTACAGACTCTTAATTATCTTATTATCTTCCTTTTCTTGCTGGTATCTCAACATTTGCTATTAATGATTTGTGAATAACCTGTCTCTTTAAAGCTATTATTTCAGTAAAGTGAGCCGTTGCTTACGGAGGCAATCCTGCCAAGGTCTCCCTTTCTCAACGGCTCACCCTCTACCTTGTCACCCCAGGCTGTGGGTACATGTCCACTGTCTCCAAAAGGGCCGTCTCCAGTGCGGGACAGAGAAGCCTCGGCTGTTGGAATGTCATGCAACCAAGTATACCTGTGGATCCATTTTATTTTTATGTATTCTTAAATTTAATATGTGTGTGTCTCTTTTCCCTCATTATTGATTTTTAAAAATTTGTTCTCCTGCCTAGGTGCTAACCGGGCTGCAGCCTGTGACTGAATTTTCTACCTTACTGCTCTCCTTTTGTCCCGTTGTACACACTCACTTCATTCTTGCCTCTTTCGTTAGCTCAACATTTAGATCAGAAGGCCTGTAGGTATGTGTGCCATTATTATTGTTATTCACACTTATACTAATGGCTAACATTTACTCAACACTTTTCTGTGCGAAGCATCTTATATACATTAGGTCGTCTTCAACTCATAGGTGAGGAAACTGAAGCTTAGGTGAGATTAAGCAATGTGCCAGCTAGTGGTTTAGACAAGATTCAAACCTAGGTCTGACTCCAGGGTCCCATACAACTTCCCTGCCTCGTGTATACAGATGCGACAGGACCTTCCACCTGCTGTTTGGACTTTTCTTCCACTTTGATTCACTGAACAAGGACCTCCTGACTAAAAGGCAGTTGCAACATCCATGAGAAATGCTATTTCATGTTCCTTGAAGTCACGCCTTGGGAACTGGAATCTGAAGTGCACCAGGCACGCTCCACAGATCTCCCCTTCCAGGCAGAAAAAGGTAATTGTGAACATGTACTGAGGGAGAGGGATGATCCTCAGGATGCCCCGTGTA